AGGAAAAGCAGTGGCCCGAAGAATTTGAGAGCAAACTTGGGGCCAGCTCTAAGAAATTGGCCAGTGAACTTTCGAATACATCCAAAGCAAAAACCTCTGAACAAGAAACAGCAGCAAGACTTTCGATTGTCAATGGTGCTCAACTGAATGAACATCTAGAAACCATTGTCACTTGTAAGTTCTGTGGGTCCAATGTGCAATTGTTAGAAGAACACGAAAAGAGACACGGTCTAGGCACTTATTGGACAATCCTATGTACCAACAAGGACTGCCATGCAAGTGTGACGTTTCCTATGTCGACTAAATCAAGCAGATTTTTTGAACTGAACCGCTTGGCTGTACTTGGGTTTCGTTCTATTGGACGCGGACATAGTGCTGCTGAGAAACTTTTCGGAATAATGGGTCTCCCTGCTCCAATAAATCATGACAGCTGGGCAGAGCATTCCCAAGTGATAGAGGAAAGACCGAAAGACCTACTTGAGAAAGAGCTTGACAATGCAAAGCGTGAAGTAAAGGAGAAGCTACAAGGAGGTGAAGACGGAATTGTAGCCACCGGCGCTTCATTCGATGGTTCCTGGTGTAGCCGAGGCTGGTCTGCCACTGATGCTTGTGTAGCTGCTATTTCAGTCGAAAATGGGAAGGTATATAAGCTTACGTATAGTTTTTTTTATTACATTGTTGTAATTCAAGAAATTTGTAACTTGTGTTTTACAAGTTGATTGAAATGTGTTGTATTTCACTAAATATAGCAGTCAATTTATTTTTATTTTTTTACACTAGTTTAATAATAATCAAAATATCACTCAAACATTTCTCAATAATATTGTATTAATTAAAAATCAAAGTTCTGTATGTACATTATGTGTTGGATAAAATGCAGTTGTTTTCCTACATAGGTCCCGGATGTAATGCATTTCAGCAGGTCATGCAGTGAGTGCAAAAAAATGGAAGAAAAAAAGAAAAAGGAAGAGATCAGCACATTTGACTATTTGGGATGGTACAAAAAGCATGAACCAAAGTGTTTACTAAACCACGAAGGCACATCAWCCGTAAGTGTATTCATCTCTCCTATTTTTGAAAGTTATTTGCAATGAAGGGCAGTCCTTTTGAACTCATAATGTCCTTTCAATTGCTTTCTCCTTGCACATTACACCATAGTATAGGTACTTTTGTAATAGAGTGATTTTTCATCAACCACTATATAAAAATTAGGTAAAACCTAATAGCAGAGCTCACTAAAGATGTGCATGTTTCTCCGCTATAAAATAGATTGACTAATAGTTGGTAGTAGACTCTAAACCCATTGTTTTCTTTTGTCTCTTATGAACTGCTACACCAAAATAGTTAGTGATTTTCTTTCGACCATGAAAAGAAAATGACACTTTAGTTTTATATTTATTTGATGATTATATGTGGTTTAAAATACTTGCATACATGTACACAATATAAGATTAGTCACCACATACGTTGCTGCTGAATATTAAGATGTGATGAGAAATGGCTGAGAATAGACATTTATATAT